GTATATGGAAGAAGAATCTGAAAAACCAGGTAAAAAATTGTTCATGCTTGAATATGTATAAATATGTATGAACATACATAAATACGTATAAATATTCATAACATATAATATAATTATATATGAAATATGCCCATACATGTTCATGCATTCCTCTTTCTTTTGTAAAATTACTTTTTAGTGTAATAGAAATAATAATAATAATGTAAAAACATAAGAAAATAATTAAAGGGATAATTTTCGCATTGTTTGTTTTAGAAAAAAAAAACAAGTTTGGAAAAATATAAAAAAAATTGCTCATACATAATTGTGCATAATTTTATATATAATTATACGTAAGTAATTTTTTTACATTTCTTCAAACTTCATTTTTTCTAAAACAAATAGTGCGAAAATTACCTTTTTAATTATTTTTAATGTTTTCACGTTATTATTATTATTTCTAGTACATTAAAATGTAATTTTACAAAAAAAAGGATGTACGAACTTATGGATATATTTCATATATAATTATAGATGTTTATAAATATTTATGCGTATTTATGTGTACATTTATACATACTTATACATATTAATTCATGCATGAAAAATTTTTTATCGGATATGAAATTGCCATTCGCAGCAGTGCAAGAGGCTGTTTGCGAATGGGTTTGATTCCAGTCCAAGAAATTTTATGAACAGAGAATACATCATCTAGCTTCACAATGGAAAAAGTATCTTGCCAATCATAGTGATTATTAATATGTTAATTGATTTCAAATTTTTTATCTGCTATGTTTCATTTGTTTATCGTAATAGATAATGCATATATTATGAAACAAATTAACTCATAAAATTAAAAGAAATAAGTTAATTAAACAAAGTTTCTTAAGACCGTAATGTGAATACACAACTGAATCTGTACACTCTGAAGTAAATCTTATTATTTATAGCTTTTTAAAATACTACACTGAAAGAAAAGATTGGTTGCAGCAAATTAGATGAAAATATAGCGTAGCATTTTTAATTGGTTTCTACAATCAATTAAAAATGTTATGCCATATTTTATCATCTAATTTGCTGCAGTCAATCTTTTCTTTTAGTATATTAGCATCAAATGATTTACAATTTTCTAAGGTGCTTTTATTAATATCAATATTATTAAATTATTTGTTAATTTAATTTGTGATATTGATATTCAGTTCGTATACGATTACGTTTTAAGACTAAAAATAATTTCGGCGCGCAGAACTAGATATGTATATAAATTTATATAGAAATATTACTTAAGTATTAAACATCTAACTTATACTATATTATATTATACTATATCTTGTTATTAATTAATAATAGTAATATAAAAAAACTTGTCTTGTTTAAACACGATTTTATTCTAATCTACGGAATTTATTCTTTTACATATTATTTCTATTTTAGCGCTATATTTGATATATGTATTATTAATTTAAAAAGGAGATAGTTGAAAAAAAAATTTAATATTTCTAATCTAATTAAACTAAATTGTATTAAATGAAACAAATTTTGTTTTTAGGTACTGAGAGATCAATCGTAAATCTAATTCCTCTGAGGCATCGACGAGAATTAATAAAATATATTTTCCACACTGTTGCGTTAATTTTTACTAGCACCATGATTTAAAACAATGGTCTACGAATAATTAAAATATTTTCACCATAAACAAACATATCGCGATATGATTGCGCCATATGCGCGATATGTTTGAAGTTTTTGCTTTGATGTATCTCTACCTCTTCTATCCCTTATTGAGATTAACGAGATTGTTCATGCTTTGACGGTGTTATATTATTGCATTTTACTTTATTATATACAATGCAAATAAATATGTTGTTTTCCTAATTTTTATCATAATTTGTGACATGCCATTTTGATTTATACCCTATTTCAATGCACTTCGAATTTTATAGACTTATTTTATTAATATATGCTACAGAACTTGATTTATTCAGAAATAATAAGTATTTTGTAACAATAATTAAATTTGTACAAAGATATTAAATTGCGATTGCGATATACATATTTCAAAATTAATTAATCTCTTTTGATGATGCAATTCACTTTATCACGATTACTGTAAATCTTATATTATAAATTTACGTATCGTCGTTTAAAAATATGAAATAGCCATAATAAAATTTTTCACAATAATAACAATAATACTGATTCAAGGTTAATAAAAGTCAACGAGGTGCATAATCTTAAGGGTGCGAGGTGTGGAATGATGAACTCCAATATCTCTGTGAGTTAACTCTAATATCTCTTCTTTATTCACAATGAACGTTTCAACTCTTTTTTGTCTTCCTCAGCAAACAATCGCTTTCTTTATCGTTTTCTTCGCGCAAATATAACTCGATAGTCTGTCAAGGAAAATCATTCTGCAAGTTTCCAAGTCTAAAGTGTCTGATGACATTTCTTCATCAAATATCAAAATATTCTTCATCAAATATATGTCTGACGACACTTTGGATCATGAATGGATGAAGATATAATTGTGTTTGGTTTTAATAATTTATCTTATATTTATTGTATTCAAGAAATCCAAAGCTTCTGAATGCTTGTGAGTCCATTTCAGACTTAGAAACCTACAAAGTGATTTTTCTTGACTATTGAGTTATATTTGCGTGATATTTGATGAAGAAATTGATTGTTTGCTAAGGAAAACTCAAAAGAAAGTCGAAATGTTCGATTATGAATAAAAAAGATATCACAGAGATATTGGAGTTAAGTCATCATTCCACATTAAGATTACGCACCTCGTCCTGTGTTGCTCTTAGCCTTGAATCAGTATTGTTATCTTAAGAAGTGAAAGTCCAGTTAAGATATTCAATTTTATTATTTTCACAATAAATTATTATTTAATAAAATTGAAATCTCTAAATGATTCTTTACAATAACGTAAGATAATAAGATATAAGATAAAAATCGTTTCTAATCTTATTATCGTATAAGATAAAAATTAATTTGCTTGCCTTTGTACGAAGAAAAAAATTTCATAAATAGAATATATGTATATTATATATCTGACATGTATAGGGTATTCAGTTAAGTATAGATTAAGTATAGGTTTCATTTTAATCAACGCACTTGAATTTTTTCGAAACAATATATTATTATTAATCCTATTTTTATGATATTATATAATATCGAAGGGGACATATTTTCATTAACAAGGTTTAAGTTTGAGTGAAAGCATTAAAGTCAAATGAAAATCAACTTGTTGAAAAATATTTCAACAACAACAACATAAGTAAGAATAATGAAAAATGAATTTTAAATGTAGAAAATATTTATTTGTCAGAAGAACGTTATAATGTAAAAATAATTTGAATATCAAAATAAGAAAAATTATAATATAATAAAAAATATTTTTCTAAATAAATAAGAATTAAAAGTTATAAAAAGAAATAATATTGTAATAAAACCAAAGGAATATTTTGTTACAAGGATGTCATAACATAAAATCAAAAACTGTATATATCATTTCACCAAAAAAGTAGTTGAAATAATATTTTCAGTGATAAAATAATACAGAATATTTTTTTCTTACTTTCACCACAATATCATATTAATAAGATGTATGATATTTTGTGTGAAAACGAAATAAATTCTCCCATTACAACTGCTCAGAAACAACTGATTTGAAACACTGTTAAATTAAAACAATTAACAAAATATGATAATGCAATATTGGCACAACTGTTCTCAGTTTTAATTACTCAATTATATATAATATATAATATCAAAATGTGATTTACCAGAACAAAGAATGTCAAAGGGCAGTTCTTCTTTTATAAAGTTCTTCTTTTATAAAGTTATTAAAATTTATCACAGAGAGCAGTTATGTCAATATTACATCATCGCATTTTATCAATTGTTTTGATTTAATAGTTGATTCAATAGTGTTTAAAAAATGACAATTTTTGTATTATCGTTATTTCGAATGAGAGATATTTGAGAGATATAAAAAGAAAAAGTGAAAAAGGTACGCACTTAACAAACTTTTGTTTATAACAAAAATTATTGAAAGTTAAAATTTGTTTTCTTATAAAACTGATAAG